CAGTAGAACAAAACAATGGAAAAATAAACAAGAAAAACAGACTAACCAGAATATAACCACCTATCCTGGAGGTGCAAGGAGTCAGCAGCTTGAAGGAAGGGCTTTCTTAATTTCAAGCGAATGCTTCATGACTACTGATATATACAGGAAACTCATGGAGAGTCTCCCTTCCCCAGCAGCTGTTCCTACATAAGCAGAAAGACATGGACCAGAGAGACATGGGGCAGTACATCTCACTACTGACAAATACAGAAGCCCTCCCCATTCAAAATAAAAAAACAAAATGAGACACCATCAAGGAGTCAGTAGCAGCTGGTAGGACCAGAACCTCTTCTGAGCAAAAATGAGATAAGAAAGAAGCCTGGCAGGAGAGAGAAGCCCTTCCTCTACTTTAGTCCACCTCTTCCATGTGGGATGCATCTTCATCTCCCTCAAGAGGGGGAATTCCATCTGGGACAGCTGCAGTGGGCTGTTCTGCTGTCACCTCATCTTCATCAATACCTGGAAAAGGGAAGAGAAGGGAACAGATGAGGCTTTTGGGCAACACCTGTCTGCAGAGGATCAGCCTCTCGTGAAGCAAAGGCTGGCTCCTGCCCACTGCCTGAGGGACAGGGCTATTAGCATGCAGGGGTGATCACACATCACAGCACTTCATGAGTTGTTTTTTTAGACAAAAATATTAATCATTTGGGGGCAACAGCTATGTGAAAGCACAAGCTGTTTCACTAGATAGGCCTCATCACCCATGGCAAACTGATATTCACTGTGAAGACCTGAAAAGCCCCAGCTTTGTCAGTGGTGGTTCCTATCCTCACAGAACAGCCCATTTCAAGCACAGAGCGCTCCATAAGCAACTTGCTCCCCGTTTCCACTTGCCTGTAGCCACTAGGCAGACATGGCTGCTTCTTTATGTCACAGCAGTTTGGCTCACCTACCTGCCTCCTTCAGCCCTCAAGACAGCTACATGCTACACAGCTGCCCAGGCCATCACAAGGCAGGATGCTCAGCTCTACCAAGGCTTATTACCCCTTTCCCAATACAGCCTGTGTGGGACACAGCACTTCAGGCAGCTTGTGCACTCAGGCCAGAAAGAGAGGCAAGAAGGGACCACGGGTGACTACCCCTGCAGTGGCTGATACAGGTGAACTTACAACAGATTGGGACACCACCATCACAAGCAGACCTGCAATGAGCTGAAGCCCAACCTGCAAATACAGTTCGGGACCTGCTCCAGGCCCAAGAAGCTGCACAGACACCTACCAAGCCCAAGTTTGATCATCCTATAGATGCTGTTGGAGTGGGTCTGGGGATCTTCCAGGGAGAAGCCAGAGGACAGCAGAGCTGTCTCAAAGAGCAGTACCACCAGATCTTTGACAGCTTTGTCGTTCTTGTCAACAGTAAGCCTTCTGGCAGAGGATCTCCACAACTGGGTGCTCTGGGTTGATTTCTAGGTGCTTCTTGGCCATCATGTAGCCCATGGTAGAGTTGTCTCGCAGTGCCTGGGCCTTCATGATGCGTTCCATGTTGGCTGTCCAACCATAGGTGCTGGTGACAATGCAGCAGGGAGATGAGACCAACCAGTTTGAGACAGTCACCTGCCGATTGCAGCCAAGAGTTAGCAGAGCTTGGTCCCCATGTGCTCTGGACTGTGCCTAGCCACAGCACACACAGCAACCCTAGGTCTTTGTCCCAGGTTCACCTGGTGACAACTCAAAGCAAACAGGGATCCTACAAGCAGCTCCAGAATTGCTGCACAAGGCAGTGGGGGGAGCTCAACCAGCACTTTCAGTACCCAGTACATTTCCCACACTCACCCTCTCCCATCAATGCACATATTTGGGTCAGTGCCCTTCATGTGCAGCCTGGTTGCTTAGAGCAAGACGGCGCAGTGAATGCTGGGACCTCCAGACTCCTTTAGCAGCTCCTCTGCAGGAGATGAGGGAGATCAGAGGCATGCATTGAGCTGGATCCCTTGCCTGCATGACAGAGGGCTCAGCCCTCCTCCCTTCAGCCCAGGGCACAGCCCTGGGCCGAGCTCCTTGCCCATCTCACCTTCTCCACCTTCTTGTCCAGAATCTCCTTCATGAGCTTGCAAAGTGTCTCAAACTTGGCCTTGCTCTCCTCCATCTTCTTCTTCTCATCTTCAGGCAGCTCCAGCCCCTCCTTGGTGACTGATACCAGGCTCTTGCCATCAAACTCCTTGAGCTGCTGCACGCAGTACTCATCAATTGGCTCCGTGATGTAGACCACCTCAAAGCCACGCTTCCGCACACTCCCCACAAAGGCAGAGTTGGCCACCTGCTCCTTGCTCTCTTCTGGGTTGGTGGGAGGTAGAAATGAGATGTCACCAAGATTTAGTATGTAGTTACAGGGTGTCAAATAGCACCATTCTCCCACAGCCCCTAGCAGAAAGCTGGGACTCTCGTCCTGTTTCTCTCCCCAGCCCACAGGAATGAGCTGTGTTGGTATGAAGGACCTGCCTGGAGATGTCTTGTCTGAAGACAACAGGGCTTTTAGGCAGGTAACCTGTTCTCCACCTCCACTGTGGCACAGGGGAGGTCTGGCTCCTGTGATGTAGTAGATACTCTTCTGTGTCTCCTTCATACGGGATACATATTCTGAAAGCAAAGTCACCTCATCACCTGACTGGAACGTGAGATACTGCAGCAGCTGTGACAGGCGCATTCGGTTGGTTGAGTCCTCATGGATGCCCAGCTAGGGTAGAAGAAAACACGAGAAGTCTCCAGGATGGGACCTGCAGGCACTGAGTCAGTCTCAGGACACAGCCATCTCGGCCATAGCCCCTGCCAGCAGAGGCAGCTGCCCACAGAGGCTCTCTAGGACACTTGTGACACTCCCTCCATCTGAATACCCACTAGATGCTCCTGTTCCTCAGCACAATGGGAGGAGGGTACCCATGACCTGATGCAGGGTGCCTGGCTCTCACCTTGAGGTTGTTGACGGCCTCATAGAATTTCTTGTAGTTCTCTTTGTCCTCTGCCAGCTCAGTGACGAGCTCCAAGCACTTCTTCACAATGTTCTTATAGATCACCTTGAGGATCTTACTCTGCTGGAGCATCTCATGGGAGATGTTCAGAGGCAGGTCCTCCGAGTCCACCACCCCCTGGATAAAGTCTAATGAGGGAAAAAGAAAGGACAAATATGGTCAGGAGCTCTGAGCTTCACTGCAGGAGAAATGCCAAATAAGACACTGGCTGCTGTCCCCCAACATTAGGCCAGTGCTTCAGCCAGCCCCTCTGTACCACAGGCAGCACCACAGGCTGTGGGGGTTCCAGCTTATAGCTGGGCAGCTGAGGGCAGGGAAGCTTACTTAAGTACTCAGGGATGAGCTCATCACAGCTGTCCATGATGAAGACCCATCTCACATATAACTTGATGTTGCTCTTTTTCTTCTTGTTCTCAAAGAGGTCGAAAGGGGCACGGCACGGGATGAAGAGCAGGGCCCTGAACTCCAGCTACCCTTCTACAGAGAAGTGCTGTGGGGCCAGGAAGGAAACACAGCTGCAGTGTTGATTCCCTTCTGCACCTTCTGCCAGGAGTCAGCAACCTGCTCTGGGCAGGCTGAGCTGCCATCCCACAGGGCACACAGACAGACACAGTAGGGTCCTGCATTTCCCCCTCTTCCTCCTCAGCTCCTCCATCCCTTGGTACCCCAACTGCATCAGGGCTCCCAGGCATCCAGCAGCTCTACACCAAGAGGCCATGGTGATCCAAGCCCAACATCCTCCTACACCCCTTCAAGGGTGGCACTGCTCCTTCTGCCACCTGAACAGGAGTCACAGGGCAGGCTGAGGCACTTTCAAATGTCCCCTGATCCCTCAGCCCTGCACTGGTAGCCTTTGACAGCAAGGCAGCCTTTGACAGCAAGGCAGCACAGCCCAGAACCCACCTTGACAGCTAGGTGGTCTTCCCAGTCATTGGTGAGGCTTTTGTAGAACTCCCCATATTCCTCCTGTGTGATGTCATCAGGGTTGCCTGTCCATATGGGCTTGGTCTTATTCAGCTCCTCCTGGTTAATGTATTTCTCCTTAATCATCTTAATTGTTTTCTTCTTCCCTTTATCTCCATCCTCCTCTTCATCAGACCCCACATCCTCGATCTTAGTTTTCTCCTCATCCTTAAGAGGCTGAACTCTTCCTCTTCCTTCTCACTTTTCTCTTCTTCCTCATCATCACTGATCTCTTTTTCACGCTCTTTCTCCAGCTGCCAGGAGACAAACAAAAAAAAGAAGTCAGGGCCATGGGCTTAGCCCAAAGCAAACAATATTAGAAGTCCTTTTGCCCCACAGAGGCATTACTGGGTGTATCAGAAAGCCCAGCTCACACAACACCCAGAATCCACTCTCTCCCAAAAACAGATCTCAGAGATTTACTGCTTCTCACAGGACTAAGGTCTGCACCTGAGAAAAAGAAGTGAGGGGCAGAAAACTCTCCACTCTCCATGCTGGATATGCCCCCAGCCCACATTCACCTGTGGCTAAATCAGGCTAGGAACACTGCTATCCCATATGCAGGGAGGGGAAGAGACATTACTCTGTCCGCTAAATCAGGCTAGGACCTGCTATCCCATATGCAGCAGCCAGGAACCAGGGAGGGGAAGAGACATTACTCTGTCCTTTCCCATCTTGCTCCACTCTAGCTCTCCAGTTGGTCCCCAAAGCTGTTCTCTTACGTACATAGAGCGTGATAGGGTAGCCAATGAACTGGGCGTGCTTCTTCACCACTTCTTTGACACGCCGCTCCTAAGTACTCTGTCTGGTCCTCCTTCACATACAGGATCACTTTAGTGCCCCGTCCAATTGACTCACCTATAATATAAGAAGAGAAACATCAGCACTAAGAACACAGGGAAGCTCCTCAGGGCCAGCCGCTACTAGATGTATACCTCATTTTAACAGGCACAAATGAGAACCCAGCCCAGAACACCACCACAAAAAGAGGCTTTCTGGCTAAGAGAAATGAACTTGGTCTTGTACAATACACACCATGGTCAGTGCAGACAGTGAAGGAGCCTCCAGTTGACGACTCCCAGGCATACTGCCCATCGTCATTGTGCTTGGTAATAACCACCACCTTCTCAGCCACCAGGTAGGCGGAGTAGAAACCCACACCAAACTGCCCCATCATGGAGATGTCTGCACCTGCCTGTAGGAGAGGAAGACAAATGGCAAGGGGAGGACACAAGAGACACCCACAAGTGATTCACAGCAGCAAAGAACTGGGTCAGCACGCAGAAATAAAGCAGGCAGTGCCAACAGGCAGTCAGCCCTACACTGAGCTCCTCCCCAGTACAGGAGAGGTGGGGAGCTGCGCTCACACAGCCCCACAGCTCCCAGGGCAAGATAACAGCAGAGCTGGGTGCCAACACCTGAGCACGCTCCTATTGAGAGCACTGCACTCACCTGCAGGGCCTCCATGAAGGCTTTGGTGCCAGACTTGGCAATAGTGCCCAAGTTGTTGACGAGGTCGGCCTTGGTCATGCTGATGCCTGTGTCGAGCAGGGTGAGCGTACGCTCCTGCGCATTGGGCACGATGTCGATCTTGAGCTCCTTGCCGCTGTCCAGCTTGGAGGGGTCGGTCAGGCTCTCGTAGGGGGTCTTGTCCAGCGCCTGCAGGGGAGAGCGGGGCGCTTACCTGGGCCTGGGCCGGACGGCCCGCGCGGGGCCCGGCGCACAGCCCGCGGCGGGGCGCTCACGTCGGAGGCGCTGGAGATGAGCTCCCGCAGGAAGATCTCCTTGTTGGAGTAGAAGGTGGTGGTG